CACACACACACACACACACACACACACACACGCTCACACACACACACACACACAAGTGTGTTCTTAAGCGAAACAGAAGCAGCTGTATTCAAACACTACTGTCGTCTGAACTTTGAGGTAAGTGTTTGACAGTACTGGCAAATATTCTCTACGGTAGTAGAGAATCTTTGGTACTAGGAACACATTGCCCAATGAACTTAGCGCTAAAAATAGAATAGACAAACTATTTTTAATATGCCACAGTACTGGCTGCCAACAGTGAGTATTTTCCCCTTCTGTAAGAGGAACGCACACTTTTAAACAGAAGCATTCAAAGACCAAAATAGTGTCTATTTATAGTTTGTTGCACCTGAGCTTCTACTTTGTACCGCACTCAAACAAAACTATGATTCTATCTGATATTAAACACTCAGACTGAGATTTTGTCACGTTTTTTTTAACAATCTATTCGTGGATGGTTGGAGGGTGACACTGGAAGGCCATACTTTTAAAAAACTCCCCCTTTATTGTGTCTGTCTGTCTGTCTGTCTGTCTGTCTGTCTGTCTGTCTGTCTTAGTTTTTTCCCCCAAGCAATACATTAATGTCCTTTACCGTGTCGAAATGCATCTTTTTATTTAAACAAACAGTTTCTTTAATGGCCCTGTGTTCGCTTTGGTTTGTGGTTGGTTGGCGGCTGCTCCTGTGTGGCTTGTTCTGTCTTTCCTTCCAAACTTCTATCATTCTTCTTTCTCCTTTGTGGTAAGTTATTCTCTTGTGTAGCCTCTCATCTCCGGCATTGATATTATGACCTGTTCGCAAATGCCTTACATTTCTTAGCAAAACTAACACTAAATTAACGCCTCTAATCTTTGGCATTTCTACGACCTGTGTGTGTTGCAAATGCCGTAAAACTCCCACAACAACTCAACTTTGTTTGTCTGTCAGGTGGCCCAGTCCGAGGACCTGAACGAGGACAAGTGTCTGGACCAGACAGAGTTCCTGGCGGCCTTTGTGAGGGCACAGTGTGGAGGGTACGGGCTGACTGAGGAGACTGCTGTGGCTACATTCAGGTGTGTGTGTGTGTGTGTGTGTGTGTGTGTGTG